TCTAGATCATTACCATGACCTAGTTACTGATCCCAAGCCCCACAATATATGGTCGTGGACTAACTAGAGTGCTCTACCGAATCTGTCAATTATAGTATGACAGCCGTTTGTGAAGTTACAGAACAAGCGCTTCTCCATAAGATCTTCGAACTTGAATAACTTGGTATAACAACAGAAGAATGCTAAAAAGATGACGTCACTTAAAGATACTTCGAAGATTATTCCAAGAAAATTTCCTTTGAAAATGGAATTGTGACAGCTCCTTTTCCTCTCAAGGAAAATGTGACAGATCTTGAGGATAACTACACCGTTGCCATACGAAGGTTACAATCACTGCAAACCACTTTACTCAACAATTCAGAACAAGGTAAATGGTATTGCAAGCTTATTGATACATACCAAAAAGAAGGTATTATTGAAACCTTCAAAACCCCTGACTCCCAAGCAGGTGTTTATTACATGCCACACTGCGGAGTTTGGAGAGCTCATAATAAAGTTCCTCTCCGCTTAGTTTTTAACGCTTCCTCCAAAAGAAGGGGAAAAATGTGTCTTAATGATGTGATTCAAAAAGGAGAGTCGTTTGTCAATAGAATCCACGACATCCTCATCTACTCACACTTCAAGAAAATAATTCTAACGTGTGATATTGAAGCCGTTTACACAAATACGTCTAGTATACGCTCCTAAAGATCTGTGCGGATTTTTGTGTTGAAAAACGTCAATCATCCGCCCACAAAGGATAATGAGTACAGGCTACCATTTGGTGTGATAGCCTTCCCTAGCATATTAAATATGGCATTTTAGCCTTTTTGAGGTTGCAAAACTCTGTTTTATCGACAGAGATAGCACAAAATCTATATGTTGACAACATATTGCTAATGGCAGAGTTTGAGCATAAAGTGTCAGCAAGTATCGTGAAACAAAAGTACTCTTTGCCCGAATTAGGATGAATTTGCGCGATACGTGTCAAATTCGCAGATTGTGAACGATAGTATTGCAAATGAGGATAAGCTGGATCTTGGTCCACTGAGATTACTGGGTGTCAATTACAACACAATCAGTGACAGATTCACAGTTGTAACCAACTCCCCATCCAAGGCATTATTGACGAAAAAAAAATATAGTGAGTCAGATCAACTCGACTATTGATCCTATATTTCTTGTAGGACCGCTTCTCATAAAGCTCAAATCAATGATGCGAGAAGTTTTCTCTACTGGATTAGCTTGGAGAACTCCGCTTCCGCAAGAATTTTGCAGTCGATGGAGTGCTCTGTGTAATGAGGTCAACCAGGCCACAAACTCCATTGGCAGATACCTGCCAATGAAATCCTACTCGAAAACGCTAATTGCCTATGGGTTTTCACGGATGCCAGCAAGGCCGCGATCACAGCTTGTGCGTACCTGCGATATATGCCCTCAGGCTACGTTTCGCCACTCATTAGTGGAAAAACGCGGTTAACTCCAAAAAAATGTTACCAAACA